GTTTACATGTTGCAATCTCTGTGTTGCTAAGTGAGCATAAGGTCAGAAACAGGACTACATAACGCAGTACAACTGCTTCCTTGTTTGGCAAGCCAGCCAGCATTAGAGACTTTATTATTACTAAGACTCATACTTGAACTTCAAGATGTACTGTTTTGTTGCTAAGTAAGTATAGGGCCATGATATTCTGATTCCGATTTCTGATATAAGACAATAAAACTGCTACTACATTTCAACATCGCTCTGGGAGACAATGCAAGATCAATCTTTGAAACATAAGTTGCCTCCATTCTGAATAAAAATAGAAGATGAATGTTGAAAAGAACCTGGATAAAAAACAGCGATCAGCTCTGCTATAATATAGCAACAGATTTCTCTGTTGTCACCTTAAAACGACGGAAGAAACTGTTCTGTTTCTGTGGGCAGGTGGAACACACCAAACAAACCAAAGTCAAAAATGTTTTGGTTAAAATAAGTTTCCTGTCATTTGTTTTGAATATTTCTGTCCAGATTCCAACCAAGCTGACTGTTTTCTGGTCAGCTGTTCTTCCTGAAATGTCTGAAAAATCTGGAATCCCTCCAGCTGAGCGTCCTCCTCTTTGCTGAAGCATGGATAACTCTGTGTGTGTGAAATCTTAGGGTTACGATGCATTCGTGCATGGTTGGACTGAACTCCCACGAGGCCTGCGTGTGTTTAGATCATTTAATCTGTTTAGAAAAAGCTCTTTTTTTCATAAAGTTTAGGACTTCCTTTGATGGACGGATGACTACGGCCTTCTGCTTGTCAATACGCATCCAGCAGGGAGACCCAGACCGCTCTCTGTCCAACTCTACCATCCAGCTCACTCTAGGGTTCCAGAAGGTTTCACAGAGGATATAGAAAGTCCCTCCAGTTCCAGGTGCCATCCTTATTTTATGCCCATTCCACATTTACCGACTGGTTTTAAGGTGGAGAAGCAGCAGCTGGTTCCTCCAAGGTTCAGCTCCTTTAAGCTGTTGGTTCCAGATATGATCTACCTCTGATGATACAGATGAGGGATGGACTTTGAATTCAGAGCTTCACCTTCTCACTGTTTTAGTTTCACAGTTTGCACAAGCATGTGGTGAGGAAAATCTAAAGTGAGATCCTTTAGTATGCGTTAGACCCAAACCGGGCTTTATCCTTCACATCTTTTCTTTCACAGCCGGCTTTGAAAAAGTTTTTTTCCTATTTAATCCTAAATAAAAAATAAAAAAAAAGTTACATGAAAACACTATTTCCACCCACCGCCTTCACTGTTGAGCACCATTTGCTGGATTTCAGGGTGGGGTCAACAATGGGTGGTGAGGTTGCTCAAGGACCCAGATGCAGAGACAAGGGAAGCAGAGATGAGTTTTGAGAGGTTTAAAGGAATAGTACACCCAAAACATGATTAGCCTTCATTTTCTACTCACCCCCATGCTGAACAACACTCTGGAGTACTTTTTTGATATCT